AGGATTGCAACAACGACACAATACCTAGCTGGACTAGTACTGGACAGTGTGTGGCACCGTTCAACGCCACCTGCTTGTTGTTAAGGCATGATGCATGGGAATGTGTGTTTGGTATGGCGCAAACCAACCCGACAAACACTGTAAATCCGCCAGCCAGCGCGCATATAGACACTCCCACTCCGATGCCGTCTCATCCTTTGAAGAAGACCACATCAACGAATTTTCAACCATATGATTTCACTCCGGCTCCTACACCAACAGCATCAATCGAAAGTAGAGCTTATGCACCCACTACTACGAAGTCAGCGATCATTAAGGCGGACACGAATACCTCAGTAAATACACATAAACCTACAGGAGCACCGAAGACGATACCGCTTAACACTACGGAAGGTCCAGCATACGCGAAATCGAGTACATTCGGAGGAAATGCAAATACTTCTCGAATATCGACGTCCAAAGGTATCACTTCGAGCAAAGCTTCTGATGCTCTGAGCAGTGAAGCTATAGCTGGAATCATCATTGCGTCCATCTTTCTCGTAATTGTTATTGTCGGTGCGGTACTTTTTAAGCAGTATTCAATTGATCGACGGCGAGAGGAGGAGCTATTTGCTGATTTAAGTGCTCCTGGCGGACGACCTCTCGAGACTGACTATGCAGCGATGTAATAAGTTGTGCTTTGACACCATATTTCCACGAGTGAGAATGAATGCCAGCAGGTTAGTTTATTGAATGACTGATTACTACAAAAGCACCGAAGAGCAAAAAGGCTTGGCAATATCTGAATTCACCCTTGCCTGTCGTCGCCATTGTTATTGCTCTTTTGCGGCTTTAAGCTTTTTCGGTTAACGGTCGACACTCGGGATTTAGTAATTATTTTGCTACGAGTTGGGGGTTCAGTAGCTGTAGAAACAATGGTTTGCTTAATAGCAGCGCCCCTAGTTGTTATCGATTGACCGGAACTGGATCCTGACGTCTGCAGCTTCAACAGATACTCGAATGTGATTCCGCGTGCTTTTAAGGCCTCTTCTAAATGCTCAAGCTGCATCTGAGCATGTGCCAGGTCGCGCTCCGCTTTCTCGGCTCGAATTTCAACCGCATCAGCTGCATCTTCTGCAAGCTGTCGAAAGCGCGTTTCCTGCCTTTGCGTTTCTCGCGCGACAACTGTAGCTCTCTCTGCTTCATATGTAGCAGTCTCTGCTGCTAACAACTTTTGCTGCAACTGTTTTATCGTGCTCTCTAATTCCCTTCGACAATGTGTCGTGAGAGAGAGTTCGGTCTGATGAGAAACATTGACGTCGTAAAATTTGCGCTCGAGCTCTTCAAGTCTAGCCTGTAAATGTTCCTTTTCATCTGTGACACCAACGACCTGTGCGGCGCTTTTGATCAGATTTTGCTTACTTACTTCCTCCGCGCGCAAAAATGCCTCATCACGAAGCTCCAACTTCTTTCGCCAGACCTCCGCTGCATCATTCCGTCTCTCTTTCGCGTGCTCAAGCTGCTTTTTCAGCTGTGGCAATGATGCCAACTGACTTTGCAGTGTTCTCGTGCAGCAAGTTAGTTGCGCATTCTCCTGAATAGCTCGCTGAAGCTCTTCTTCCTTTTCCCTCAACAACTTTTGACACTTGCGCTTAGTCTCGTTGACAACAAGTTTTGATTTTTTCAACTCATCGCTTAAGGATATAATTTCGCGCGTTCTCTTCTCCAAATCTGCAGAATTTACATATTCAAAGATTTGCTGCTGCATCTTATTGTTGTCAGTCTCCAAGTCCGTATTCTTTGTGATCAAGTCCTGGACCTGTTGCTTGAGCTTTAAGACCACTGCTTTCTGATGCTCCTGGTCGCCTCTGACAAATTTGTTGTTTGGTCCAGCATTGCCTCCTCTGGGTACCTCCTTGTTACCGCTTGCTGCCAATAGCGCTTGCTTTCGAGCAACCATTTTGAGATCCTCCTTTTCTTGACGCAAAACAACAAGCTCTTTTTTCAGCTCCCGAGACTCTTTAACTGCACGCCTCATAGTACTTTCCACAGCTTTGCGAGCTTCAATTTCGGAGCGCAATCGGCATTTTATCAGGCGCTAAGAGTTAAAATGCTTAAGAAAATGTTGAGCATCTATCTTGAACAGAATACTAACCAGTACCTCTACATTTTCCTCTTGATGTTGTTTCGCGTTGGTTGACATGCTTTTGCCTGGCAGTCCTGTCTCGATTTAGCTAGATTGACAGTTGTAACGCATCGGACAAGAAACCATTGATCCTGAAAGAACAAGTCAAATAGTCGTCCAATCTCTATTTTTTGTGATATGATAGCAACAGATTGAGACTCACGAATTTGCCAACAATAGCAATAGTCGATCACGCTGCAATGCGGAGCTGACAAAGCTGACAGATAAAATAGTGCTGCTGAAAACACAAGGCTTTTATGGACGATTCGCGAAGTGTGAACGCGGCACTGCTGGACCAAATATACATATTAATGATAGAAGCTGTAAATACGCTGCACACACTGATTTGAACATCACGTGGCGATTTTAGCGATGTGTGCGACGTAATTTGGCCTTAGTGTTTTGTGATGGCGATACAGCTAATATGGTGGCATAAGTTGAGTTTGACACGAGGAGTTAAAGATGTGATTCGAAGCGTCAACGTCTTTTGTGAAATTGCGACGAGTACATTGTCATTCGAATTGGTGTCACGTTTGTGGTGCTGCATCAGATGCGGCAATTGCACTCTAATCGTTTAAGCAGTCTTCATCAAATAAAGCTTAATGTTGTTTTCCATCGTGAGACAAATGAAAATGTGTCTGCGCAGCGTGTAGTATAACACTGTACACAGCTCTAAAAGTCGATGATGACTCAAATTTCCTTCGCGAAATTAAATTTCTTAAAGATTTGTTGTACATCACTACAGTAATCAACTCACAGAGCGATCGCTATCTGAGCTCTTTCGCTCTAAAGTTCTTGCGAGAAGAGCTAATGCACGCCTCATAGCTTCACGCTCACTCGTGCGAGAGGATTTTGTTTGCATATTTACCAAAGCACGCATCTCCGACTCCTTACTATCAGGCTCCAGCTCAATAAATGCCGCCTCAGGGTAAATGCTGCGAATTACCTCTTCAACCTCCTGAACTTCTTTTTCAACTAGACGAGTGACATCCTCTGCATACCAGGCCAAAATAAGCGGCAAATCTTTGTCTAATTCCTTTGTTTCTAAAAACACTGGCTTATACCTGTCCATATGTGCAAAAATGTATTATCAGTGATAAATGATAAAGTGATGGTATACTTTTAACATGACGCGCACATCCGAAGTAGTTTTGCCGCCAGATAAGTACCGTCAAAGTCGACCTCGGCCTAGTTTATCCGGGAACCACACACTTAGCATAAAACGAGAGGCTTACAAACCACTGACTTCGTACCTTGTAGCTAAACGTTGACGGACCTACCCACTGTGACTGAACTGCGTACACGTTATCAATGGAAGGACGAGCCAGAAGTAATTTACGTATACCATTTTCGATATCAGGCTCCACGGACTGACCCAATAAGAAGTTCTGATTTAACCTAATAAGTGACACAGCAACGCCACCAAGAAGCACACCAATAGAGATACTTGCGATGCTATCCCACAAGGGGTCTCCAGTGAAGTGGCTAGCTCCAATACCACACCCAGCCATGAGAACACCTGTACAGGCCGCCAAATCTTCGTACAGTACAGCCATCATAAATGGGTCTTTTATGCGCTTCACATGCTGATAGAAAGATACGTTCTTGGGTTTTGAGGCCAGTAAATCTTGCGTTGACCGTTTAAGTACCCAACCATCAATACCAAAGGATGCTGCAAGCACGCACCAAATTTCCCAAGAAAAGTATAGCTCCTTTGGAGGATCCAAAATTGACTGAATACCATGAAAAATGGTCGCACCAGAACCTAGCCAAAAAATTCCCAACGCCGATATGAGAGACCAAAAATACGCAGCACGTCCGTATCCGTATTGATGCTTCTTATCTGGCACTCCTGATGCCTGCTTCAAGCCCAAAATGAGCACGGCCTGATTGCCAGTGTCCACGAGTGAATGAATAGCCTCCGAAAGCATGGCACTGGATCCAGTCTTTAGCCACGCTAGTATTTTTAGTGTCGTAATAGCCGTGTTGCCTGCCATGGCCCGAAACACTACGTCACGCGACGTAGAGCGGTACACTTTACCAGGAAAATAGGCCTTATTGATGTCCGTGCGCGGCTTGGGAATAGGATAAGAGGATTCCACAAGCTCAGTTAAAAGATCTCTGTCATCTTTATCTTTTTTATCATCTTGTTCGGCTATTGTTGCGTCCTTGGCGCTCGGAAATGCCGTTACCAAATACCGGAATGGAGGTGGTTTGGTCGATATTTTTTTTTTATGGCTCCAAGTTGGTGACAGTAGGGCTGGTCGCGGTTGTCGGCGACGAAGAGATGAGAAAAGTAGACAGTGCAAGATCCGAGGCGGACGCAGCCGTAGTGATGGCCGAAGCGCGTGTAGCATTCGTCCCCTCTGTGTAGCTTATCTCGTTCGCGGCACACTGTTTGCGTGAAGACTAATTACTCTACAATTGGCTGAACAATAGCCAGCTGCAACTTTGCAGAAGTGGTCGCCGAAACAAGTGAAGTCTTCTTGCACGCACAGATAAACAGTGTATTCACTTGTATAACTTGCGGCAATTTGCTTTCTTAAGCACAGTAACAGGACGAGGACTTCGAGCGAAAGATTGAATGCGGATCCTTTAATTGACCATCACTGTCTGGCGTTAAGTAATTTTTGTGCTTCAAAACACACTATTATTTACAAAAAGCTGTTGTAATGACATTTTTTCCGCGTACCAAAAAAGAGGCAATTTTTCCCAACAATGCACGAGCGCAAGACAATGGTCGGAGACGCTCTTACGGATTGCCTTCCATATTTTGAAACCATCCATTACTGGTGGGTCCAAGTACGGAGCTATTATCGATCAATTATTTGTAGCATGGTTGCTCAATAGTATTAGGTTGGAAACCTTGAGTTTTGTTTGATATCACACAACCATTTCTTTTACGTCTCAAAGATTTTTTTTGTAATCTTAAGTTTCGTACAAAACCCACTTGGTTTACTCTCCTGATGCAGACTTGACAGCTGTATGTATCATAGTCGATATCTAAAACGGAAGGGTGGCTTATTTAGACCAAGCTTGTTTATGCGTGTAAGAGATGCAGCTTTTTCCTCATACCTCGGTTATATATAAGCTAAATAATAGCACTAGCTGCTCATAAGAGGCAGTATCACCCGTAATTCTGTGGTATCAAGATTCTTGGAGTGACAGCTTTTTCCTCTTACCTCGGTTGAAAGTTTAGCGAAATAATAGCACGAGCTGCTCATAAGAGGCATCATCACCCGGAATCAAGACTCTTGGAGTGGCTGGTTATGCGCCATGCAGCGGGGCTGCCGTAGCGTTGCGCTTAGAGGAAGCATAATTTAGGTCATCGACCTTTCGTTCTATACTTAGAAATAGTACGAGGTAGCAGATCGCAATCCGCTTACTCCAAAGAGTAATTATTGCCTTAACCCAAGGCTAATGACTCTTCCGTTTAAGATTCAAAACTGATCTTTATTTATGTATTATCTGCGGCAGAGCCGCCTAATTTTAAATGTTTAGATTTTCCTAAATATATAGTATAGTAAAAGCTATACAGTAGACTCCCGCTTAAATACGCAAATCGATCCGATACGGTTTGTGCGCACTTAACTGGTAGGTGCGTACTTACACCTGTCTTACCCTATTTGACCTCTTTCAGAGAGTATTATGGCTACCAGAGGCAGAGGGAAGTGTCTTAACGAGTTTCAGAGGCCTGAGATCATTGCTAAGTTGAGCAAATCAAACGCTCCAAGTAAACGAGGTTTGGCGAGAGAATATGGCGTCAGCGAAGGTGCAATCAGAAAGACCTGGGAGAACAGGGAAACAATACAAAGCCGATGCAATTTAATGTCTGAGGAAGCCAGGACTCAAACGTATCGAGCATCTGTTA